TTTTTAAGCATATTACGCAGATTTGGCCTACCGGGCAATTGACTTCCAAAAGAGGCTGGTAAATAGAAGCAAAACACCCTACGTGGCCGAGTTGCTCCTGATTCACCCCTAAGCCGAATATAGTTCCTCTAAAACGACCTTAATCGGTACGAAAATTTTGACAGGGTTGTACGCGTTTCTTTTACGGTGACTGCTTGACTGATTGTACTCGTTTCTTTTGAAGCGACACGGTGACTGCTTGACTGGTGAAGACTAAACCCAATCATGCAGTCGAACTCTTGAGTGAACTGACATTTCCACACATGGATCCAGCTTTCTCGATGACTTAGAAATTAAAACTTGAAGTATATGGACACGAGCAACTAAAATAACCTGATCATGTCAGCATATACCTCAATTTGAAAATTTCCATTACTGCCAGTTCCAAAGTCTTTGAAGCTCAACTGAGTTGTACAAGTAGAATACCGGCATCATTCCGCCATGCCGGCAGCCGACTCCACTTGCAGAAACATTGTACAGGAAAACGAAAAAATTTCTAATAATGTTCAGCTTTCAAACACTCTAGTACAGATCATTACTAGTTTCACTAGCAAACTAACGACAGGGCCGAGCGGCGGAGGCAAGGCAAACGAACGTGTAGCGTCTTGTAGACTACTTACTTCCCCAAGCTGCATCACGTTTAATAGGGATAGTATTTAAACATTTAACGAGGCTAGCAACAAATTTTGCCATGCGAACATGATAAAGTAACTGTGAGGAACAAGAACCGTAAGCTGCGGCCAGACTACAAGCGAGAAAGCTGAAGTGCGTGGAAGCTTGGAGCGCGCAGACGCGAGCTGGCGAGCGTAGGTGTCCAGACCCAACGCGGAGTGGCGCGATCATATGCAACGATGGCGTCTCGGCGACAGGTGCGGCAATTGATTCTTCTAACTCAAGTTTTTACAATTAAAACATGCGAAACCAAAAATAGGCATTCATCCAATCAACGCATCATGCCATGAATATGGAGAATATCATCACTTGTTTCGTGAATTAGTTGTAACTGGCAAGCACATTTGCCTTGAAGCTCCTCACAAGCCAGGATCATTGTATTACAATATTAAACAGTTTTTCTATCTTGTTTTGCCAGGTGTAGTAGATCATGAATGTAAGTTCGTCACTGTCGACATTGGTGCGCATTGCAGGCAGAGTGATAGAGAAGTGAAAGCTTCGACATCCACCCTCGACGACGTCTCAGGGGCAACTACACGCGCGTGCTCGGCTGCTCGCGCTTGTATATTTAACTCAACAAATCTACAAGCTTCGCGCCTCAGCAAGCGCCGCGGGTGCTAGCATGAGCGCGCGTCCTAAATGGCCACCCGTATGGGATTGTTTTATATAAAATGGTCGCTTAAGCGCGCTTACGCTCGCGTACGCTCTCTCGCTGTCTGTCTGGCCGCACCCTAATGGATGCAAGAACAGAAAAATACTTGATAAGTACGTGGCAGTAAAAATAGTAATGCATGTCGCTCCAAGAGATAAATTTCAAATTCATATCATAACGTACATAAATAATACAGTGGAGGAAATGGCTATACGACCATCCAGTTTTCTCCAAATATTCTTTCTTGCACAAAAAAATATTGGATTCCAACTATACGAGGTTAAACTGCGTTTAAAAACGATTACAACGCTGTACGAAAAAAATAATATTTCAAAATACCTATATTAGAAGAAATGATGAAAATTGGAAAAACCTAGGTGGAAATGGTTATAGGACCATGATAAATTTTTCCGTTTGCGTATCCAATACACTCGTTTTAATAGGCAATCTTACCTCCTTATGCCTCAATTACCTCAATGCGTCTTCCCCCAAGCTATTTACCAAATCATCCAAAGTCCTTTGAGAAATTTTATCCCAAGAACAAAAGATAGCCGTGCTTCGGTCACTCACAAGTTTGAACTGGCGCTCATTTCGATAATCATCCCTCGCCATGATGCCAAATAGGGTTTCAATGGGGTACGTTGAGGTCTGGGCTGAGCGCTGGCCACGGCAACAGGGCAATATTTTACTCATGGAATCACTTATTTGTTGACTTCAAGGTGTGAATCGAAGGATTGTCTTGCTGGAAAACATATGATCCCGCGTGTTTCTCATCGGAAAAAAGAGAGAAGATGTTGAAATAGCCTGTGATTGTATGCCCCGGAATCTCGTCTTCCTTGTAAAATAGCTGGAGTTGATTTTCCCTTCCGGCATTTCCCGCACCCCAAACCATGACCGAACCGACACCAGATTGCCCTTGGAAAAGAATTCAGGCTCACGGTCTAGATGGTGCCTTAATCATATTCCCATACCTTCAAGCATCTTGAGGTATCTAAAAATAGCCAAATAAATCCAGATATTTATGTCCTATAATTAATGAAATTATTATCTTACAACACGTAAGCTTAAAAAATTGGTAAAATCAACTCTCATTTCTTTCCATTGTATGCCTTGACAAACGTACTCGTGTACATACATCAGCGCCATATGATGAGCGGGAGATGGCCATGGCCTGCTCAAATAACAGCGTCTTACCACAGAACCCTGGCCAGCTGCTTATTTTGGTCTGATTGCGTATATTCGGCCTATCGGGCAATCGACTCACCCAATAGGCTCCTGTATAGCAGTTGTTTGCAGTTAGGTGGCCGATAGGCGCCTGAGTCACTTCTAAGCTGACTGTCTGTCCTTTGAGTGGCCCCTAATGGAATAAGAAAATCGACTAGGTTGAACCTCTTTACCACATTATTTGAAAACCATTAATAATTTCATACTACCAAAAATTTGAAGAAGTATCATGCCATTTTCCGAGTACGACTATGATGGCGAATAGCAATTCGTTTCATTCTAAATTCCTTTTTTTACTATTGCAGTATCCTGCACCGCAGAGGAGCTGCAGTGCGGCGCCCTGTGCCTCCCACTCTCTGCGCGGTGCAATGGCGCGTCAGAACGCGACGATGGAGAGGACGAACCGCCGTCGCAGACCGCGGTCATACCAACTGATGTGGTGCCAGGTGCACCGGTTCCAGGTGTAGCGGTGCCGGGTGCAGCGGTGCCGGGTGTAGCGGTGCCAGCTGTAGTGGTGCCAGGTGCAGCGGTGCCGGGTACAGCTGTATCAGATGCAGCGATGCCAGGTGCAGCGGTGCCAGGTGCAGCGGTGCCAGGTGCAGCGGTGCCAGGTGCAGCGGTGCCAGGTGCAGCGTTGCCAGGTGCAGCTGTGCCGGGTGTAGCGGTGCCAGCTGCAGCGGTGCCAGGTGCAGCGGTGCCAGGTGCTGCGGTGCCAGGTGCAGCGGTGCCAGGTGCAGCGGTGCCAGGTGCAGCGGTGCCGGGTGTAGCGGTGCCTGGTGCAGCGGTGCCAGGTGCAGCGGCTGTCTCTTATACACATCTAGATGTGTATAAGAGACAGGAGCTAAACACTCATTTTGNCCAATAATAGCCAAAATTTCTGTTAACCCCATACAAATTCCCATTCACCCCCGCAGATCCTACCATAGAGTAAACTGGACCCAATACAAACAAATACTATCCCAGAACACAGTCCCCACACAAACAAACCCTACTTTAGAAGAAATAGATACACAATTAGACAAATGGACACAACACATACAGGACGTAACCGACACCTCTATCCCCACAATAACACACCATATCATTCCCGGCATCAAACCTAATCACGAAACATTACTCATACAAACACAGTATCAAGCTACACTCCAAAACATCCATACACACGGACCATCAATCGCACTCAACAGACAACTCATTTCCCTACGCCAACAACTACAAGCAGTATAGAAACACATACAAACACAGACATGGCAGGACCTCATCAACAATCTGGAAACACAGACAGATCCCAAAAAATTCTGGTCCTCACTAAAACGCATGCTAGGCTCCAACACCAAACAAACCATCCCATACCTCAAACACAACAACATTCAACAGAGAAATAACCCATTTTCCGAAAACACTGGCAGGACATATTCACACAGAACGACACAAACAACGACGACTTTGACATTGAACACATTCACACCATACAAGACCAAGTCAATAACAATATACACCTCATTTCTCCATACAATACTGGCGACCTTACAAGACTCCACCCAGTAGACTTTCCACTTACCACCATCAGAGAACTAGAACGCACACTAAAAATATTTAAACAGAAAGCCCCCCGGTCCCACTAGCATCACAACCCTCCAACTCAAACATCTCCCAAAAAACATGATACACTACCTTCTATACATATTCAATCAATCAATTTCCGCTGGTTACTTCCCTGACTCACTGAAACACGCTATTATGATCTTCCTCCCCAAACCAACACATCACAACACCAAGTTCAAAACTAAAGACCAATTTCATTACTAGACATACATGGGAAGCTCTTGGACAAAATACTCAACAACAGACTATAAGAACACCTCACCATTCATAACATACACAACACTAGACAACACGGTTTTAGGAAGCACAGAGCGACACACACAGCACTGGCCACATTCCACAAAACACTCGCCATAAACACAGCACAAAAACACTCCACCGACATAGTGCTCCGCGACGTGGCCAAAGCCTTTGACAAGGTTTGGCACGCCGGACTCCAACACAAGATCATCCAGCTCAACCTCCACCCGTCCTTCACCAAAACACTACCAGACTACCTTACAGACAGAACAGCATCCATCAGAATAGGAAATCACATAGGTCCCCCAATACAACTTCACACAGGTGTCCCCCAGGGGGCTTGTCTCTCCCCTACACTATAGTTTCTACACACACGACCTCCCACCTCCACTACCCAACACAGACTACATAGCATTTGCAGACGACATAACACAAATAACAACTGGACGCTACAATCATATCTATGCTGCACAACAAACACAACACGCCATCCAACAAATAAACGCATTCGAAAGCAAATGGCTAATTAGGACCAACACCACCAAGTTTAAAATCATCCCCATCAATAGACAAAAAACATCCGACATATTCATAGACAACACTCACTACCCATACACGAACAACGGTAAGGTTTTAGGTCTAAAATTCACAACACACGGTTTTAGGTCCCAAGTAACAATTAGGAAAGCAATAGCCCTCACAAATTTACATAAAAAACACAGATTCTATCACCTCCCTCCAAATATAAAACGTACCCTATATTTCACCCTTGTTAGGTCAGCCCTCATTTATCCCCCAATACCCCTACACACACTATCCAAAACAGCAATAACACAACTACAGAAAGTCCAAAACAAAGCACTCAAGTTCATCACAGACACACACTGGTCCGACTTCATATCCTCCCAAACACTACACGAACAATGCAACATTCCCACAATAAACACAATCCTCCACCAACAAGCACGCAAAACCTGGTCCACCATCAAAACATACGATCCCCAACTCTTCAACCAACTGACACTCCCCCCACACGCCATAGCAAGGCAGCACCGGCTGTTCCACAGTTCAAAAATACTTGCACTAGGTCCCCCACCTCCACCTCTCTACAAATAACTACACATTATCTATCTAACTACACCATTATCTAACTACACCATTATCATCATCCACCCTCATTATCATATTCATCAAGAAAAATACCAAAAAAATAAATAAAAATAAAAATAGAAAAAAGCGAGAACGCACGTATATATGTAAATAGTGTACCACCAAGCCCCCATCACCTACCTTTCAGATGCATCCAAAGCCCCGACGGGTTCCTTTCTCCCCCCCCCCTTCCTCAGCCCCAAACACCCCTCCAACCACATATAGCCAACCCAATTATGCGCAATGCGTCTTTTCATCTCCTACTGTCTTTTCCATTTCTCCTTCTTTCTGGCCACTCTGCGCCACCTCTTGTTCTTTTCCACTCTTTCCTAGTGGCACCGCACACACACACACATACATGCCACTCCTAGGCGCCTCGTGGCAACTAGTGTGGTGTTCTCCTTGTGCTCCCTTGGAAGCCTCAGACCAGCAGCCTTACCTTGGACTAGCAGCCTTCGTGTCGTGAGTGTCGCTAGGAATTAGTGATTTTTTGGCCTCCGTCTCTACCTTCTTTTGTATATACGACTGCAATCCTATTATACCTGTGTTTTCGCTCCCCCCTCCCCACACCCTCATGCACCCTCCCCCAGGGGGCACCTCTGCCTCGAACCCGACGGGCTAGCCCCAGAGGGCGAGAGGCGGTGGCCCCCACCATCATTATCATCGCGATCCCGACTACCCTCATTCTCATCATGCTACCCACCTTCATCCTCATCAGCCCTCATTCCGCCCCCACAAACAAAACCAACTGAACGCTCGAGACCTCAAACCTACCGTATCCAGCTCAAGAGAATTTACCCTCGACTGACAACAGACAGACAAAAAATCTTCCATACGACCTATAAGGAACTTGACGCGCCTCTCATTCGGCTGACTGACACAATAAACGGGTTCTACGCTGTAACGGATGACGCTTCAGCCATTGACAAATTGACCTCCCGTAAGGCCACTGAACTATTCAAAAGAATTAACCTGACGCCCGTTATACCACCGGACCTACGGGCTAAAAGAACTATGTTCGCAAGACAACTAAACAGGGACGTTAGTAGCCACACCGTCGACGAACTAAAACAATTAATTACTCACCACTCACGTGATGAAAATCATCACGACAGATACCACAATAGTACAAAGAGTACTCACCGATGGTTTCTATCTCTACAAAACATAAATCATCCCCACACAGAGCGAGCAGGAAAGATATATTCACCTCCTCATCTGCTTTACGTGTTACAAAATGGAAGATCACCCCACTCACCAGTGCACCGCAACCACTCCATCCTGTTCAGAATGTGCAGCTAAAGACCATATATACACTCAATGCACCAATCCATCCAAAAAGTGTTTAAACTGCCAAGGCGAGCACCGCACACTCGCCGCAAATTGCCCGTACCGTAAAGTCACCCAGACGAAGCAACAAACACAGCAGGAAAAAATTCAGCAAAAAAAAACAACCAAACATACGTGGATATTGCAAAACAGGCTATACAACAAACAAATACCCCGCAGCACAACATAACTCTCACAAATTCGACTCAAAGTAAACTTACTGCTCTGATCCTGGAAGCACACATAGCTAGTCTCTCCCGTCAGCAAGGATTCGGCGAAATACTATCACAATCTCAAAAAAGACAATTACAACATAGACGCAGTATTTCCGGACCGCGACTCTGCAAAATTTTTTAATTTTACCTACTCGCCCAGTACCAAAGCCATCAGTGCTGACTTCGACCTAAGCACAGAATACATCGATGACGATGACTCACGACATCCTACTCTAAATCTGTCCCGCTCACCAACTGACGACGACAGCCGCCGAGACAGGACTCAGACAACCAAGGCTTCCAGTGACCTCGACCTACGGAAAAGGAAACTTAGCAACGACCAATTTCAAGACTCATTCATTTCGGTATCGGGACAAGACAAGCCCATACCCGTAAAACTTTTCAGAAGCAGAAAAGATGCCTGTGAAGTTCCACTGGAACCGAGCAATAACTGATACACTGACGAGCTACGGAAGAAGGAATACGGACTAAAGAACTCAGTGAGGGACATAGAGTCGATGAAAATAGTAGATTTCATGAGACGCTACAAACTCAAGTTCAACCAAGCCACCATCAAACAATTCCAAATGACTTTTTTAACAGCATGGACCGAATCACTACCATTACAACAACCACATCCAAAAAAACTAAAGCTTTAACCTCTAAACCTCCACTCCAAACATGACTCCACTGCGCACGCTAAAAATATTATAACACAACGTCCAAACCTGGAACAACAAGAAATTCGCGCGGTCCAACATTTACAATAACATCGACCTAGACATCATCTTCCTCAACGATCACTCACTCATCAACAACAGCCCTCTAAAGTACTGGCTCCCAACTTTGAAAGTGAGACCTCCAGAATAGTGACACGTTACAACAAAAGGAGAGGGAGACTGTGCGAGGTTGTCCTATTTAATAACCGAGCCGAGACCAGAGTACAGACCCTTCGAGAGGGATCACTGTCCGTGGTAAGACCGAGGCTCTTTAATGTCTTGCCAAAAGTTCTGAGAGGAGGGGAGTACACCTTTGCAACTTACAAGAGACGACTGGACAATTGGTTGAGAGATATCCCGGATTGTCCAGTAATGGTTAACTATCCTCAGGAAGTGACAAGCAACAGCATATTGCATAAACTGGCCCAAAGGAAGGTAAATATACGGAACACGTCCAACGTTACATTCGGGACCTCAGGGCGGGGTGACGTGCCTAGCGACGACTCCGCTATGGAGGACGACGAAGGCGGCGCATCAGCGTGACTGGGGACTAGGAAGTCCCGAACTCATCATAAGATCATAAGGACCCAGACTCCCATCTCACTCATCACGTCAACCTCCCTCATCTTCATCCAACCCACCACCAAACTCATCAGAACGCTCGAGATCCCAGACCTACCGCATCCAACTGAAAAAAAATCGACCCAAGAATACCCACCGACCGACCCAAACTTACCGCACCGCTTGTCCGACTGACTGACACTGCCACTGGTTTCTACGCTGTAACCGACGGCGCTACTGCAATTGACAAATTGACTTCAAGAATAGCGACCGATGCATTCCTGAAAATAAATCTGACACCCATTATACCCCCCGACCTTAGAGCCAATCGGACCATAATCGTACGACAACTCGACCGAGACGTAGGACGCCGCACCGCCGACGAAATAAAACACAAAATTTCGACTCAACAGACTTGGCTACACATACGTACATGCCGTCCTTAAAATTAAACATTACACCCACATTATCAAAATAGTTACCACCGACACAATAGCCCAACGAATACTCACAAATGGGCTTTACATGTACAACACCAAAATCACCCCATCACGATGCGAACAAGAACAGTACACACGCCTACTCATATGCTACAAATGTTACCAAATAGAAGACCACCCTACACAGCAATGCACATCCACCACTCCCTCTATTCCGAATGTGCCGAAAAAGACCACACATACAGACAATGCACTAACACTTACAAGAGATGCCTCAACTGCTACAACGACCACCGCACACCAGCCGCTAATTGTCCATATCGCAAAAAAATAAACAAAGATCATTTGAAGAAGCCTCAGACCAGCAGCCTTACCTTGGATTAGCAGCCTTCGTGTCGTGAGTGTCGCTAGGAATTAGTGACTTTCATTTTTGGCCTCTGGCTCTACCTTTCTTTTGTACATACGACTGCAATCCCATCATATACTTGTGTTTTCGCTCCCCCCTCCCACAGGGGGCACCTCTGCCTCGAAATCGACGGACTTGCCCCAGAGGGCGAGAGGCAGTGGCCCCCCACCATCATCATCAAGACCCCGACTTCCATCTGTATCATCACGGCACCATCTATCATCATCATCACATCAATCACCAAGCACTCATGAACGCTCGAGACCCCAGACCTATAGAATTCAACTCAAGAAAATCGACCCCAGACTTCCTACCGACCGGCCTAAAATTTTTCAAACCACATTTAAAGAACTCGACGCTCCACTCATTTGACTGACAGACACAGCTACGGGCTTTTACGCTGTCACTGATGACGCTACTGCGATTGACAAACTGACATCAAAAAAAGCGACAGAAGCCTTCAGACAAATTAACCTGACCCCAATTGTACCGCCTGACCTACGAGCAAAACGGATCATTTTTGTGAGACAACTTGACAAGGACGTAGGTAGCCACTCAGCCGACGAAATCAAACATGAAATAACCACACAGCAGAACTGGCTACACATAAAAGACATCATTAAAATCGAACACTACACACACGTCATTAAAATCATAACCACTGACACCACAATAGCCCAACGCGTACTCAAAAATGGTTTCTATATGTACAACACTAAAATTACACCATCACAGTGCGAACAAGAAGAATACACACACCTACTCATATGTTACAAATGTTATAATATAGAAGACCACCCTACACATCAATACACCTCCATCACTCCCTCATGTTCCGAATGCGCCGCGCAAGACCATACATACACGCAATGTACCAACATTTTCAAGAGATGCCTCAATTGCCACAATGACCACCGAACTCTAGCCGCCAACTGTCCATACAGCAAACAAAAAATACAACACAAACAGAGACAAACAGAGACTATCAAACAGAAAACAAACCAAACTGACGTCGACATTGCCAAACAGGCAATACAGCAAACCAACGTACCCCAACACAGCCTGACTCTGACGGACAAGACGCAACTGAAAGGAAAATAGTCGAACTCAATTTATTATAGGCAGTATCTTGTATACAATTTTTGTTGCATTTAAACACCGAGGACTCGATACCTATTAAACTGACCGCAATTATACTCGAAGCTCACATTGCCAGCCTCTCCCGCCACGAAGGGTTCGGCAGTATACTATCCAAATCCTTGAAGACTAACTATGACATTGACGCGACTTTTCCGGACAGGGACTCAGCCAAAATATTCAGCTTCTTTTACAACCAGCCCGAAACCCAGACTGAGGACGCCGATTCGACAACAACCACCAAAAAGACAAAGCACTCCACATTTAAACACCCATCACAATGACCCCCACGCCCTCCCTAAAGATAATACAACACAACGTCCGTTACTGGCACAACAAGAGATTCATTCTTGCAAACATTTACAACCATGTAGACCCAGACATAATACTAATAAACGATCACTCCATTACAGACAATAACACTCCACTCAAAATATTCAATTAAAATGTTCACACCAGCAATAAAGACAACACAATTCACTCCGGTGCTGCCATCGCAATCAAACGTCGTATCCAGTACAAACTACACGATAACTTCCATACAGACATGCTTGCAATCACAATAGACATCCAACAAGGACCCATCATAATTGGAAGGACATTCATCCCACCCCGCACAGGCTATATAAACTACATAGACTTCCACACACTATTGAATAGGCCTCATCCCGTATACTTCCTCGCAGACCTAAACGCCAGACACACCACACTAGAGGCCCCTCGTGGTCACTGTTGGTGGTTCTTACTGTGCTCTCTCGTGACTTACCTGCAGCTTCGCCTTGGGATTAGCAGCCTTCGTGCCGTAAGTGTCGCTAGGAATTAGTGACTCTACTTTTTTGCCTCTGTTTCTACCATTCTTTTGTATATACGACTGCAGTCCCATCATATACCTGTGTTTTCGCTCCCTCCCCTCCCCTTATCCCCATAGACAACTAGACAAGGACGTTGGTAGCCACAGCCCAGCCGAAATCAAACACGAGATTACAACCCAACAAAACTGGCTACAAATTCAGGACATTATCAAAATAAAACACTATACATACGTCATCAAAATAATCACCAGACACCACGATAGCACAGCGAATACTCACACACGGTTTCTACATGTACAACACCAAAATCACTCCATCACAATGTGAACAAGAACACTATACACACCTTCTCATCTGTTACAAATGCTACAAATTTGAAGATCACCCAACTCACCTATGCACCTCAACTACACCTTCATGCTCAGAATGCGCTGCCAAGGATCACACCTACACCAAATGCTTAAACACATTCAAAAAATGTCTCAATTGCCAAAATGATCACCGAACACTAGCAGCAAACTGTCCCTACCGCAAACAGAAAATACAACACAAACAACAAATACAGACCGAGACGATTAAGACAAAGACCAATCAAACCTACGTGGACATCGCCAAACAGGCAATACAGCAAACTAACGTCCCCCAACACAGCCTGACATTAACAGACAAAACTCAACTGAAACTGACCGCTATAATACTAGAAGCTCACATCGCCAGCCTCTCCCGCCAGGAGGGGTTCGGCACCATACTCTCCAAGTCTCTGAAAGCTAACTATGACATTGACGCTACGTTCCCAGACAGAGACTCTGCAAAAATCTTCAATTTCTTCTACAACACACCAGAGACCAAGACCTCCGACACTGACTTCATCACCGAGACCGAATTCATTGACGATGACGACCTGAGGCGCTCAACACTCAACCTTTCCCAACAGCCAAAAGACGACGATGGACAAAAAAATGACCCTCCGCCCCCGAAACCCGTAGCCCATAACGTGGACCATGACCCCAGAAAGAGAAAAAGCATTGACGATCAGTACAAAGACTCATTCATCACAGGACCAGGACTCGACGATCCGATCCCCATCAAACTATTTAGGAGCTCCAGAGATAAAGTAGAAATCCCCCCTGACCCATCTAACCTTTGGTACGCCGAAGAATTTAGGAAGAAAGACTACGGACTGAAGCTCTCGGTGAAAGACGCAGACTCTTCAAAAGTAATCGGCTACCTGAAACGTGACAAACTAAGGATACAAACACCTCTAACAAATATCATTCCCCACGACATCTTCACCAACATGGACAAACATTCGATAACAACCACCAAAAAGACAAAGCACTCCACATTCAAGCACCCATCACAATGACCCCCTCGCCCTCTCTAAAGATAATACAGCACAACGTCCGTCACTGGCAACACAACAGATACACTCTCGCAAATATCTACAACCACATAGACCCTGACATAATACTAATCAACGACCACTCCATCACAGACACCAACAATCCACTCAAAATATTAAATTATAACGTACACACCTGCAATAAAGACAAAACAATCCACTCCGGTGCTGCCATAGCAATCAAACGCCACATCACATACAAACTACACGACAACTTCCATACAGACATGCTAGCAATCACAATAGATACCCAACAAGGACCCATCACAATAGGAACGACATACATCCCACCCCGCACAGACTACATCAACTACATCGACTTCCACACACTTTTGAACAGGCCTCATCCCGTATACCTCCTCGCAGACCTAAACGCACGACACACCACACTAGAGAACTCATCCTCCAACCAAGTAGGCAAACAATTACACTCGCTCATAACCCGACACAAGTGCACCCACATCGGCCCATACTTCCCAACCCTCATCACACACAACAGCACAACATCACCAGACATAGTCCTAACCAACAACAAAGCATTCCACAACATACACCTACAACCAGGACCCATCACACCTTCAGACCACATTCCAATAATAGCCAAAATTTCTGCTAACCCCATACAAATTCCCATTCGCCCCCGCAGATCCTTCCATAGAGCCAACTGGACCCAATACAAACAAACACTATCCCAGATTCCAGAACACAGTCCCCACACAAACAAACCCTACTTTAGAAGAAATAGATACACATTTAGACAACTGGACACAACACATACAGGACGCAACCAACACCTTCATCCCCACTATAACACACCGCATCATTCCCAGCATCAAACCTAACCATGAAACATTACTCATACAAATACACTATCAAGCTACACTCCAACACATCCACACATACGGACCATCAGTATTATTGCACTCAACAGACAACTCATTGCCCTACGCCAACAACTCCAAACAGTATACAGACACATACAAACACAGACATGGCAGGACCTCATCACCACTCTGGAAACACAGACAGATCCCAAAAAATTCTGGTGTTCCCTAAAACGCATGCTAGGTTCCAACACCAAACAAAACATACCATACCTTAAACACAACAACATACAACACGACACACCAGTAGAGAAAGAACCCATTTTTCGAAAGCACTGGCAGGACATATTCACAAAGAACGACACAAACAAGGAAGACTTTGACATTGAACACATTTACACCATACAAGACCAAGTCAACAACAATATACACCTCATTTCTCCATACAATACTGGCGACCTTACAAGACTCCACCCAGTAGACTTCCCACCCATTACCATCAGAGAACTACAACGTACACTCAAAACATTTAAACAGAAAGCACCCGGCCCCACAGGCATCACAACCCTTCAACTCAAACATCTACCCAAAAATATGACACATTACCTTCTATACATATTCAACCACTCCATCTCCGCTGGATACTTCCCTGACTCACTGAAACTCGCCATTATGATCTTCTTACCCAAACCCAACACATCACAACACCAAGTTAAAAACTACAGACCAATTTCATTACTAGACATACACGGGAAGCTCTTGGACAAAACACTTAACAACAGACTATAAGAACACCTCACCATCCACAACAATAGGCAACAAGGTTTTAGGAAACACAGAGGGACACATACAGCACTGGCCACATTCCACGAAACACTCGCCATAAACACAGCACAAAAACAAACCACCGACATAGTGCTCCGCGACGTGGCCAAAGCCTTCGATAAGGTTTGGCACGCCGGACTACAACACAAAATCATCCAACTTAACCTCCACCCATCCTTCACTAAAACACTTGCAGACTACCTTACAGACAGAACAGCATCCATCAGAATAGGCAACCACGTAGGTCCCCCAATACAACTGCACACTGGTGTCCCCCAAGGGGCTTTTCTCTGCCCCACATTATACAGCTTCTACACACATGACCTCCCACCACCACTACCCAACACAGATTACATAGCATTTGCAGACGACATAACACAAATAACAACTGGACGCTACAAACACAACTATGCTGCACAACAAACACAACACGCCATCCAACATATACATTCAAAACAAATGGTTAATTAGGACCAATACCCAATACTGCCAAGTTCAAAATCATCCCATCAATAGAAAAAATACATCTGACATATTCATAGACAACATTCACTACCCATACACAAACAACGGTAAGGTTTTAGGTTTACAATTTACAACAAATGGATTTAGGTCCCAAGTAACAGTTAGGAAAGCAATAGCCCTTACAAATGTTAATAAAATTTACAGATTCTATCACCTTCCTCCGAATATAAAACGCACTCTATACCTCACCCTTGTTAGGTCAGCCCTCATTTATCCCCCAATACCCCTACACACACTATCCAAAACAGCAATATCCCAACTGCAAAAAGTCCAGAATAAGGCTCTGAAATTCATCACAAACACACACTGGTCCGACTTCATATCCTTCCAAACACTACATGAACAATGCAACATTCCCACAATAAACACAGTCCTCCACCAACAAGCACGCAAAACCTGGTCCACCATCAAAACATACGATCCCCAACTCTTCAACCAACTGACACTCCCCCCACACGCCATAGCAAGGCAGCACCTTCTCATAACGGTTGGGTGTAGCTGGTCCCAAAACAACACAACACTAAACACTCATGACACCATCGCCATGACAGACTGACGTTACTCAACGAGAGTGACGTACAGTAAAGACGTGGCCGAAACCAAAGAACTAACTCTACCTTCCTCTGAGTCTCGAGCGACTCACCCATCGCCTTCATCTTCTTCATCATCATCAATCATCATCACCACCCATCTACTTATATCTAATAAAATAAATACAAAAAATGTATAAAAAAAGCAAAAAAAATACAAAAAAGCGAAAATGTATGTACATATGTAAATAGAGAACCACCAACCCCGCCCCCCCATCACCTACCTTCCTGAAGTATCCAAAGCCCCGACGGGTTCCCAACCCCCTTCCCCAACCCAAACCATCTATAGCCAAGCCAATTATGCGCAATGCGCCTTTTCATCTCCTACTGTCTTTCCATTTCTCCTTCTTTCTGGCCACTCGGCGCCACCTCTTGTTCTTTTCCACTCTTTCCTAGTGGCACCGCACACACACATACATGCCACTCCTAGGCCCCTCGTGGCAACTAGTGTGGTGTTCTCCTTGTGCTCCCTTGGAAGCCTCAGACCAGCAGCCTCCAACCTTGGATTAGCAGCCTTCGTGTCGTGAGTGTCGCTAGGAATTAGTGACTTTACTTTTTTGCCTGTCTCTACATTTCTTTTGTACATACGACTGCAATCCTATCATACCTGTGTTTTCGCTCCCCCCTACCCATACCCTCATGCCCCCTCCCCCAGGGGGCACTTCCGCCCCGAACCCGACAGGCTTGCCCCAGAGGGCGAGAGGCAGTGGCCATTCACCATCATAATCATCGCGATCTCGACTACCCTCATCCTCATCATGCTACCCACCTTCATCCTCATCAGCCCTCATTCCGCCCCCACAAACAACACCAACTGAACGCTCGAGACCTCAAACCTACCGTATCCAGCTCAAGAGAATTGACCCTTGACTGACAACAGACAGACAAAAAATCTTCAACACGACATTCAAGGAACTTGACGCGCCTCTCATCCGACTGACAGATACAATCAACGGTTTCTACGCGGTAACGGATGACGCTTCCGCCATTGACAAATTGACCTCCCGTAAGGCCACTGAACTATTCAAAAGAATTAACCTGACGCCCGTTATACCACCGGACCTACGGGCTAAAATAACTATGTTCGTAAGACAACTGAACAGGGACGTTGGTAGCCACACCGTCGACGAACTAAAACAATTAATTACTCACCACTCACGTGATGAAAATCATCACAACTGATACTATAATAGCTCAAAGAGTACTTACCGATGGCTTCTACCTCTACAATACGAAAATCACCCCCTCACAATGCGAGCAGGAAAGATATACTCACCTCCTTATCTGTTACAAGTGCTACAAAATGGAAGATCACCCCACTCACCAGTGCACCGCAACCACTCCATCCTGTTCAGAATGTGCAGCTATAGACCATATATACACTCAATGTACCAACATATCCAAAAAGTGTTTAAACTGCCAAGGCGAGCACCGCACACTCGCCGCAAATTGCCCGTACCGTAAAGTCACCCAGACGAAGCAACAAACACAGCAGGAAAAAATTCAGCAAAAAAACAACCAAACATACGTGGATATTGCGAAATAGGCTATACAACAAACAAATACCCCGCAGCACAACATAACTCACAAATTCGACTCAAAGTAAACTTACTGCTCTGATCCTATCTCTCCCGTCAGCAAGGATTCGGCGAAATACTATCACAATCTCTAAAAAGACAATTACAACATAGACGCAGTATTTCCGGACCGCGACTCAGCAAAAATTTTTAATTTTTTCTACTCGCCCAGTACCAAAGCCACCAATGCTGACTTCGACCTAAGCACAGAATACATTGATGACGACGACTCACGACATCCTACTCTAAATCTGTCCCGCTCACCAACTGACGACGACAGCCGCCGAGACAGGACTCAGTCAATCAATTCTTCCAGTGAATTCGACCTACGGAAAAGGAAACTTAGCGACGACCAATTTCAAGACTCATTCATTTCGGTATCGGGACATGACAAACCCATACCTGTAAAACTATTCAGAAGCAGAAAAGATGCCTGTGAAGTTCCACTGGAACCGAGCAATAACTGGTACACTGACGAGCTACGGAAGAAGGAATACGGACTAAAGATCTCAGTGAGGGACAGAGTCGATGAAAATAGTAGATTTGATGAGACGCGACAAACTCAAGTTCAACCAAGCCACCATCAACCTAATTACAAATGACTTTTTCATCAGCATGGACCG